TTCATTTGAACATGACTCGGATGTTAGATTTTACTTGGATTTTGAGCATTTGCATCCGTTCAACGATAATAAACGTAAATTTTCGTTGGTTTTATAAAGAGCTATGTTTGTGTAAAACATATAAATCTCATGCATATCGATTGAGTTTCATACAAGTAGTGAAAACAACGGTGCGTTTGTTGTAGTCGGTGTGCAAATAATAACAATAACAAAAGCTTTTACCAACGACATGTAAACATCATGTACACGAGCCATTATCGCACAATCTTATCGGATTTCTATTTCACATCGGCTTTTTCCCAAAATCAATGGTACCATTTGAAATATTGCATTGAATACAAGCCCCTCCATCTCCCCCGCTTCGAATGTACGGGTCTATTTATTCGAATGACATATTGTTTTTATCGATTTTCGTGTGGAATTTCCAAAGAATAAAGAAAAGAGAAAATCTTTCTTGCTTAATGCTTTGCCGCAAAAGAGATGATTTGCAGGTATCGATAGCGACTTCTATCGAATATGTCATATTAATGATACAATCGATAAAAGTATGCTCTACAATTACAAACCAGTCAACAAACATGTATGCATGAAAACATAGAGCACTCCAAAATGTATGCCATATATTATTTGTAATTGGAATGAGTGAACATCATCCAATGTTGAAGTTTGTATTAAATTAATTGATTATACATGTTTTTGATTGTTGTTACATGGGTGTGATTTTGTTTTTTGAAATTTTACCAGTTGGTTTTAAATAATAACACATATATGTGTACAGAGGAGAGAAGAGCCGTTTTGTTTTAAATGTGCTCGTATTCATTATTGTTCACATTGATGAAATCGTACAATGAAAACACTCAACAAACACGCACAGTAATACGAGTGTTTTTGCAAGGGTGTGAGAACACAAATCCAAAATGCGCAATATTTTCTCAAATTCGATTTATGCTTACCATTAGATTATTATGAAATTGATTCAGTCAACCGAAGACTAAGTATTTCGCATTCGATTCAGATTTGAATGAATTGTATGATTTTAAAGAACTTGAAATGGCATTGAACGCGCTAAATAATAATCCTTGATTTTTCTCTTATGGCCACTGTTGCAAATCATATAGATCCCAAATTTCCAATCGAAATATGTATGAAAACTGTGGTGCACATTTGTTAAAGTATCGAGTGTTATGACATTGGAAATGTCGATTTGAATGGATTTTTGGCACAAATACGCTCATTTATCTTTTTTAACCATGTTCAAATAACGTTGGTTTGGCTTTCAAAAGCTTATGTACGTGATTTATGGCAAATCACTTACAATGGCCGGATTATTTGGCATTTTTCAAAAGCAGAAGCTATGCAAAATTTGATAACAATTTCAGTCAGCGACCTAGTATATAATACAAGTTGATTTTGTATACGCGCAGCTTAAGCACAGGATATTCGTATAAAAGCCACCAAGGGAGCGAGAGAATGAGAACCAATTTTGATATAAACAGTAAGAAACCGAAAAAAAAATTATTTCAAATGCATAAACAAGTATTTCCTTTTTTTCAGCACGTTTATTGCTTAAAATCCGCACAAATTAAACTTTTTAATTACGACTGTAGAGTATAAACTAACTAGACAACTAACACCAAAAATGTGTATATATGATGCTTTCCATGCGGTTTCCTATTAAAAGCGCAACAGCAATAAATTATTACCACAAAAATTTAGAGCAACATATTTATGTATATACATTTGTACAGTGTACAGTTGTACACATATAAGATATTATGTTTTAAAAAAATATATTTATGCATGTATTTAGAGATATGACTACAGATGAAAAACCCACAAAAACAATTTGTACAGTTTGTGTGTGTGTCGGGGCCTGCTCATCTTTTTGTTACAACATCTGGAAATTGAATGTTATTCATTCAAATTTTCAAATGAAAGCAATGCCGGATTTTGCAAACGCATTTTGCATCATCCGAATTCGATAGTCTTTTTTCAATTTAGAGTTATGGAAAATGAAAATTCAACAGTGGATGATTCATTATTAGCAGCGAGAGATATGACTTTGAGAACAAATATGAAGAAGCATCGAAATATTATCTAATAATAACACTTGATTGAGAATATTTGATTTGAGTGTTTCAAGAGATCAGAGAAAGAGCGAGAAATTGATTTACATTTAGAAAATGATGATTTTACGATTTCGCCGCTTTTGAATCTAAAAACTGTTTTAATTAAAACTCTCTTTCTCTCTTTCTCTCTCTCTCTCTCTCTCTCTCTCTCTCTCTCTCTCTCTCTCTCTCT